CTAGAAAATTCCACTAGTCTCTAAAATATACAGATGAGGAGCACAAGGCGCCAGAGAGGAAGGGAATGATCCAACCATTTAAAAATAATTCAGTCATATAGACCAGAAATGCTTCTGCCTGAAGGACTGACCAGGTTAATTCAGAAAACAAGACTCAACTGCTCCAAATTTTGCTCAGTTGCTATTAGGGAAGAGAACTTGGGAGGCTGGAGTTCAAGTCCAGGTGGACCCACTTGTGAGCCCCATCTTTTAAATCCCTCACTGATGTCTGGCCACAACAGAGACTGGAAACACCTAACGGGGTGGATGAGGGTGAGCCCGGGACCTGCAGGGTGTGTGTGTGTCGGGGGGGGGGGACTTCCCAGAGCAGATCTGCCTGATGGTGGCTCAGCATTCTTGTTTTAGGAAATCTGTCCTCCTGTCTTTATGAGCGAACAAGAAATGGCCAAGGACTTATCTGAACAGGTGTCACCCTCTTGTTGCACTGCTACTCCTGTGGGGCCCCGGGAGACATGGCTGCCGGAGACACTACCCTGTGAGGCTGTCCCAATACTGGAGCAGAAGCAATGAAGGATGAATCAAATGAAGGACTATGGGGTCTGGGCGGAACTTCCACATGTGCTCCTGAGGTCCACATTTCAGATCTGAGCCAGAACACACTTTCTAAAGGGTAACTTCTGGGCCTCCCTGGTGGCACAAGGGGTTAAGCATCCCACTATGAAACAATGCACAGCCTCTGCTGCACAAGTTTGATCTCCGGCTGGCCAGGGAGCTACCCACATGGCGTGGCAGACCTCTCCTGTGTCACCCGCTGCTCCCCTCAGCAGTATATTTCGTCAGTCTGCCTGTTCTGTTCCCCGCTCTGTCTCTGGTGAATCCTCTCACCCCCTGCGTCTCTGGCCTGTACCCAGCTCTTGTATGCATAAATAAATAAATCTTAAAAAAAAAAAAGTTTAAAAAACAAAATAAAGGGTAACTTCTGCAGTGGAGGCAAAGAGGAAAGCCCAGGGCACTGAGCTTCAGGGACACAACTCAGATCAGCAAAGTAAAAGTTATAAACCCAGAAGTTAAACTCTGGTTCCTGGCAGTCAAGTAAAAAGACTTCATCTTTGCTTGACACTCTCCTCAACACACAGGCCATGGTCCCCTCTCCCCTGGCGTGACTTGTAAGTCAAGCAGCGGCCGAGGAGCGGCCTTCAAAGCTGACCGCTCACGGCAGCCCACCTGCGAGCCTTCGCACCGAGGTGGGCAGCCACACACGCTCAGGCTTCGCTGTTTGACCCCACACACAGACGGGGGGTGAGGGAAAAGACAAAGTGTTAACAAGTATAAGTCTGTTCACCAGACATCAAAATATTGATTCCTTGAGGCAAATACCAGGCGCCGGGAACGAGTGGCTCGGACGCATGAAAACAAGAACCCCGACTCCTCTCAGGAACAATGGCTGCGAACAACACGGAAGCGAGAAAGGGAGAATGCCAACGCGAACAGCTTCCTTTCCCACCTAGAAGTCCATCCCCAGACAGAGCAAGAGACACAAACACGGTGCAGCGGATGCCACCAGGTGCTCCTGCGGTCGGGGCCACACGGCTTCCTGCCCTGGGCTGCGCCTTGCCCTCCACAAGCCTCTGAAGGGAAATGAGAAATGAGCTGTTTCTCTTCGAAGGTGCTAAGCATTTGAGCTGCATGAGGAACAAATGGAAGCTTGACACCTAAGATGAATAACCACAAGGCTCCAGGTCCCAGAACTTTCACTGGGTTCACACCAGCCAGGCCCTGGGCCCCAGGGGGGCAGGGGGGGGACAGTGAGGACGGAAGGAAATAGTTTTTCTTTGAATATTTGATCATCAGCCCTCAGGGGATTTTTCATACATAAGGCTCAGGGAAAGCGAGGCTGGGGATGTGCTGCTAATAAACTCTCCGGAGCCTTTGCTCTGAAATATTTAACAAGCTTCTGCATTTTCTTCTCACTCTATGAAGATGAACTCAAGCCGAGGTTTACTGTGCTTTCAGAACTCACACGGACACCAAATGTGTTATTATCAGAGGCGTTCTGGGTAGGCCCAATCTATCCCAACTAAGAATTCTTATTTCACATTCTGTGAGACACCCATTCGTAACATCCCTGGGACAGACACACCTCTCAGAATCTCAGTCCAGGAAAGGATGTAATTAGCCAATTAATGCGTCCCTTCAAGAAGGAAGGAGGCTGGATGGTGAGAGTGGCTGGCAGGAGTAGGTAGCCCTGCCTAGTCTCAGGGGAAGCCGGGCCAGCGCACCGTCTCTGTGCTGGTCTGAAAAAGAGCAAAAGCTCTTTGTTAACGTTGTCAAATGTGAGCTAGCAGCAGAAACACCTCCGCGGGCCAGGTGGTCCTGGCTGGTATGCTCTGGATTACCTGAAGCCACACAAACGGAAGAGACTGGGTGGGGAAGGGGTGGCAGGGGCCTCCCCGCAGATGTTTTTGATGGTAACACCTGTGGGCAGCAGCTGCTGTAAACAAGCAGTTGTTGATAATGCAAATGTAAGCAACAGGGTGGCCACCGATGGTGTATGCTCCCACCCCCAGCGCCCACCAAATGGTCCCCCTTGCTGCCCGACTCCCCAGACTCCCCAGAAGAAGTAGAAGTCAGTCACACACACCAGCCGAGTCCTGCTGGGGGCAGAGCCTGAGAGCAAGAAGACAGAGTGTGGTTAGGGTAAAGACGAGACAGAGGCTGCCTTCCGGTTCCATGTTTTGGATCTCAGACACATTAAAAACAGCTGCTAGGTATTAAAAACCAAAGGTTGCAACTCACATCAGTGGGCCGGACCCTAAAAAAATAATGGGTATTGCTTTGTGGTGAAAGTCCAGAAGCTTCTGGAATTGTGCAAACTGCAGAAAATCGCATGAAAACCTGCCTAAAACAATATGCTCTAAAATCTAACAGAATGAAACACAGTGGGCCATAATGGGGCAGGCCAGGTCCTGGCCACACCCCTTTTTCCTCCACCCTCTACCCACCAACATTTATTCTGGCCACAAACCTTTCCCAAACAATGAATGGCTGTTTCACTGACCTCAAAATTTTAATACAAAACCTAAAACAATAAATATCCTCTGTTCTTTCGACATTTCAAAATGAGGAGTACAGGGTGGAGGCTGGGGGCGGGGACTGAAGAGACCTAAGGCAGGGTGCTGTTCAGAGAGAACAAGCAGCTTCGTTTTCAAAAAATCTTGGGGATTATTAATGACAATATTTTTATTATATTGACTACAGAAATTTATTTTGAAAGAAGTAGTTGAATTGAGGAATAAATTCCACAAACAATAAGCAATCACTGTCTAAGACTGTATTAGTGGCTATTTTGTTTTGTTACCAAGTCAGAAACTAATTTGTCAGAAAGGTTATTGTCGAAAAAGTGTTTCAACAGAAACCTTCAAGTAATCCTTATCGAGACATTCTCCTCCCCCTCTCAAAAACACCAACAAAACAGCCAAGAAGAAAAGGAGAATCTGAACTAAATAAGCATTTCGTTCAACAAATATAGTCTCCCACAAATTTTAAAACTCAGAAGACTTCATCGGGTGGTCTGTAAATATAAACCTACATTGGCTGGCGATAGTTCATTTTTTCTGTAGGAGATACATCCACGTGGCAGAGACAGCTATGTCGTTAAACATCTGCAAAGCTTTTTAACATAAAAGGTTAAATTGCCATTTCCTATAACAACCGTCACAAGATCTCCCAAATCACCATTTTAACTGCTCTATGGAACTGAGAAAAATCATATTCCCTACTTGAGAGGTCAACTATACGTTTGAAATGTCTGGAAAACCAATGAGTGTGACTTCTGAATCACAGCATTCACATAAAGTGGTTCTATCATTTCCAAGAGAAGGAATACAGATAACAGAGGTAAACTCAGCCCTGTCCCTCACTGACCATGCCAGGGAGACCACGCCCTCCCTGCACCTTTTGGTCAACTTCTGGCTCCCAGATTCTGTTCACAGGGGTACCAAGCAGAGCCCTTTCCCTGAGTGTCTGTGCCTGATACGTTTCACTTGGTGGAAACAAGGCCCAGTCCACAGGCACCATTACCATCCTGGCTTCCATTCCCAGAATTGTGAGGCCCAGAGGGCCCAGTTAGCCCTGACCCCTCATCCCTAATCCCCAGCCACACAATTAGAGTTGGGGTTTGGGTGGCAGAAAGGAGTGAGGCTGGAAAGAACATACAACACACACACAGTAAAAATACATCCATGACCGAGGGGGTGATGCTCAAGGAGAGCCCCAGCCCAATACTAAACCAGTCTCTCCTCAGAAGTTTTCTTGTTCTTAACAAATGAGGTTTCCATGCCCCAGCATGAGAGATTATCAGCACGAAACACACCTGAAATGCTTCCCAGTGCATCTGCATGATGCAGTCAGAATGTCAGTGCATTTTTGGGACTTTTAATGCTGAACGAACCCACAAGATTAAAAAGGAACACTTTTCATGAGGGGATCTTGAATAGGTGCTTTCTCAACAATAGACAATCAGGAAAAATGGCTCTCCCCCAACAGATCTTAAGGAAACAGCAGCTAAAACCACTGTGTTAAAAGCCGAAGTCATATTCCAAACGCTGAGCTCAAAAAGAGCCCAAGTGGTGATAATTCTAGTTAGCTTATGGGCAGTATTTAGTTAATGAAAAGTTAAATCCATTTTTCCTTCTCACCAGCACAGAAAGCATAACGTTCATAAAATCATGAATTTGTTGACTGAACTTCACTTGATTTCATGTTAACCCATGATCTGTTTTTTATTAATCTTAACCAATAAAGCAAAAGTTAAAATTCCCAGGGCAAGACATCAAAAGTAGCACCAGTTAAAGCAGCCATTTCTCACAGCAGTTCTTACATAGCAACGACCTGTCATATAATGAAAGCATTTCCCACATGTTTAAAAAAACAAACATTTGCCGAAATATAAATTAATTTGCACTTCGGAAAATAATTTGCAACATCAGCATGTTACTCACTGTTCTCGGGATGGGTGGAGAAAGAGATCCATTTGACATGTATGGGTCATTATTCATATTTGGCATCATTATGTAGCCAGAATAACTGGAGTAAGAGGGTCCCTTGTTGTAGAGACCTCCGTCTGGATGCTTTCCTGGGGAGCCAGAGAACCGTCAGTGAGGACTTCCTTTTTACATCGCTGTATTTTTCATCAGAAAAGCTAATACATAAAAGATTTGCTTACAAAATATTGTAACTGGATTATTATGCTCCCGTAGATTGACAGTATTTATTCTCTTAAATGGCTTAGCAGTGAGCCAGATGTTTTAAAAACATGTGGTTCAATTTACTTCCACTACTGACTGGTGTTTTTACAAAAATAAGTGTTATCCATGTAATGCAATTTGTTCTAATACTAAAAACTGGGCTAAGAAATACAGACACACGAAGCCACATAAAGCTCAAAATCTGTGAAAACAGATACACATGGCCCTCTCCCTCTGCTCACAGATAAATTTCTATGATTGTCAGTAAGGCAGAGCTTTACACGAACCTCAAAAAATCTACCTGTGTTTTAAGAGTTGCAGAAAATTTCTAGATTTCACTGTTTCTAAGGTTTGGGCCAGTAACCAAATCAGCAGGATTCACTGCTGGAGACTTCATTGTATGTGCTGCACTTTTGTATTCCTGTCAGAGACATCTATGTGTGTTCAGTATATATGTTTCTTCTCTTTGACTTGTGTGACTACTTTGTAGCGCAGAAGGAAGCTTGGTGTCACGTTCTAGTCCTTTCTTTCCTAGCTGACATAATGGGCGTACAAACACTCTGTTCAGGCCTGGCCAATTGTACCTAATTAAAGAACAGACATGCAGCCTGTTTGACAAGGAAACCCCACAGATCACTAGATCTAAAAAACAGATCATTTAAAAAGTTTTGAGCAAGAATCAGAAACATGGAGAACATGTGAGCGTGTTCTCTGTACATGTCCCTAAGGTGAAGACCCAAGTTTTCCGTTTTTTACAAGGCAAATTGTTTCACTGAGCAAGTGTTGCCTGCCCTCTCCCTGGAATCACAAATGGCAGTTTGACAAAAGAAACTCTGCTTGCAACGGCTCTTGTTAGCAAACAAGCCAGGGTGCACTGTCCTATAACCATGCAGGAAAAATGAGGAAAGATCCAAGCCCATTAGAGGTTAGGTAAAATGAACAAGGGAATACAGCTCATTAGACATTTCCTCTTTCACAAGAATCTGGAAGCCACCTGAAATCCAAAGGCCCCTAACTCATTCAGAGCCGGTTTTTCAAGTATCTAACTACACATTCAGAATGAGGAAGGCACCGGCTTCTCATTCCCATCTTATTAAACCAATGGGCATAGAGACTCTTATCACAACAGGATGCCGGTTTGTTGGGCAAAGGAAAAAAAAAAAACAAACAGCAAAACGCGGGTAAGCACCACACACAGCTAGAAAGTAAAGTTGGGAGAAACAGAGCAGGTCTTACCATCATCACTGTGCTCTCGGGCCTTGTCGTGGTAGGACTCCTGGGAGGTTTGTGCTTGTCTGACCACCTAAGGGTAGAAATCCCCATCCCCAAGAAAAAGAAAATCACCTTGGAGTTCATGGCAATCATGACTTAAGAGCGTTGTCTGCCGGGAAGTCGGAGGACTAGGCGCAACTCCAAACTACCTGTTCTAATCATGTAAGAAGGGTAGGCTGGGGCTGAGCACTGGCAACCTTTCGCGTTCTCTTTTCAGCAGGTATTTCTGAGTGACTACCAGCCGCCCAGGAACAGAAAGGATAGATGACAATAACAAAAACAACACGGTAAGTTGGGGAAGATACACAGGCTTTCTGACTGCTCTTTGTTACAACTCACTTAGGCAGGCGGCTTGATGCCGAAGGTGTCAGCAGTTTAAGCTAATGGAGGCTGGTTTTGCTGGCCTCTCCCACCAGGGTTCAATCAGGGCTGATTAAAAAGCCAGCTGAAATATTTTGCTACTGAAAAGGACTTTTTAAATGTAAACAAGTCAGCCACTCACAGATGGAGTTTGGAGGCCCACTGCCCCCAAGCTGGAGCCAACAGGAGTTGGGGAGGGCTGGGAGCAAGCTGACAAGCGCGAATGCCCACGGTTTAAGGGAGGAAAACTTGAGAGTCTGTTGAGACGCCCCAAAAGGTAGCCCAGTTAATATCAATTCCGGTAACCACCATCCACCAGCCTCAACCACGTGCAGCGGATGGCGCTGGGTGCCCTGCCTGCTCCCCACCGTGGCAAAGAGGCACAGAGCCTAACACCTGGCTCCGGACCCCAAGGCCAGTGTTCTTTTCCCAACGCAGACGCGTGTAGGAAAGGGGAAGTGGGTCAGGAAAGGGCACGCAAAATGGGTAGAAAGAAACAGCTTGCTGTGCAAAGGCCCGTCTGGGGTGTTATCTGGAGCCGTGGAGCCGTGGACTCGTGTCTGCGTATTCCCAGTGACCTCCTCCCTTCGGAAACGCACAATCGCAAAGCTTTTACTGGGTTTTGGGTGCACCCTAACCCCTCCCCTAGAGCCCCCCCCCCTTCAAATTAGGACCGCTAGGTACTCCTCGAACCCAGTCTTCCCAGACATACTCACCCCAGCCATTGGGATAAAGGCGATAACTCAGAGGTGTTCTTAAGTGTGGTTTAAAACCCAAACGTCCCCGCCCCAAAACCACACAGTTTCTTTCTGGGGGCAGAAGGATGCCATTTAAGGGAAAAGGGTCTACCCCTCCAAGTTTCTTTGGAGGGAAAAAGTCTTGACGAAATCATCTGAATGTCAGGCAGGCCTTTTCTACCGGATTTCCTCTAAGCCCTTCCCAGCTGCTGAACAGGGGTGGCCGGGGGAGTGTCGAGTATCAGGGTCCATCTGCGCTCCCCGCGCCGGCCCGCCCCCCGCCCTTCGGGCTGCAGTCGGTGCAGCCCGAAATAGCCCTTCCGCAGCGCCAGCTCTCCGGTTCTCGCCCGCACCCACGTGTCTCTATTTACTCTCCTCGGGTTACAGGCGCGCCAGCCCGCAGCGCCCGGAGATCTGATAACGCGCTCCCCACCCTCCCGAGTGGGTGCCCGGCTCGCCACTCTGCCTCGTCTTCCTCTGGTGTAGATTTCAGGCCTGATTCGGGCCCTAACTAACCCCCAATCAGCGGGTGCTTTTTCCTTTTTCTTTCTTTAGGCGACGAGGGTTGAGGAAACCGATGTTTGGGGCCGCCGGGCTGGGCGCGCCTACGGCGTCCCTGCACCAGGATGCCGCGGGCGCACGGCCGGTCCCGCACCGCCCCCACGGCCCGGAGGCCCCTCGGCCGCCCGCTCCGCTCCGCTTGGGGCCAGCTCGGCGGCGGTTGGGGCGGCCCCGCCTGCCTCCGGCCCACGCCCGCCTCCCTTCCTCTGCGCCCGCGGCTCCGCTCGCCTCCATCTGAGCCTTTAGTGGTTTAAGGCGCTTCTGCAGAGGCGCCCGCGCAGAGCGCGCCGCTTTCCGCCCTACGGAAGAACTTGGCGCGGGTGCCGTGCAGACATCCTCGCGCGCGGCATCGCGCCCTCCAACCCCACTCAAAAGTCCCCAGGAGGAGCGCTGCGGGCGCAGGACGGCTGCTCCGCCCGAGACCAACGGTCGGCCACCGAGCCCCCAAACCGATCCGGCAGAAGTTTCTCCGCGCACCCTCCAGCTCCCAGCCGAGACGCGCGCACAGCGCGGGGCAGGGCCCGGCACGCCGCTCCCCAGCCAGAGCCCACCCGGGCCCCGAGCCCCGCGCGCTCCCCCGCCGCGCCTCCCCGGCCCCGCCGCGCGGCCCCCGGCTCCGGGCGGCGCTCCGCTCGCTCACCTCGTGTCCGTTGCTGGCCGGGATGATTTCGGACTCGTTAACCAAGGAGGACTTGATGTCGGCTAAGTCGCCCTCCTCCTCGGGGTGACTGATCTCAGCGAAGATCTTCTCCTTCTGGGGATCGCCCTCGTCCTTGAAGGGGATCATCTCGTCCGTGGCGCAGAGTTCCGGGTCTCCCCCGCCGCCGCCGGCCCCGGAGAGTTGGGGCATCCCGACCCCTCTGTAATCTCCGCTCCGCGGGGGGAGCACCCAAGGCGACAGCAGGAAAGAGGGGGGGTCAACGAGAGCGGGGGGAGGAGCCCTGGAAGGCTGCGTGAGGGAGCAGAGCGGGCGGAAGCGGGACCCGCAGCGGGGGCAGCCCCGGCCGCCGCCCGCGCCTTCCCGCTCGGCCGCGACGGACGCTGGCGCCCGCCCCCGAGGCCGGACCGCGGCGGGCGGCGAGGGCCCCGCAGCCGGCGCCTCCGGGGGCGTCTGCGCGGCGCGCTCTAGGCTCGGCCGCGCCGCGACCACCCCGCGCCCGCGCCGCCGGGTCTGCGCGCGGAGAGCGCCGGCCCCGAGGTGGCACGGAGGGGTGTCCCGCGCGCCGAGGAGGGGCCGTCGGCGCGGCGCTCCGCCAGCCGCTGCGCCCTGGCCTCCCGGGCGCCGATCTGGGCGTTTGTTTTCCGAGAAAAGAGAGGAGCGCGGCAAAAAGGCTCCGTTCGCCCCCGGGAGAAGGTGCAGGGAGACCCGAGGTAACAAGAGTCCACTTCCTGGAGGGTGAAAAATAAAAAACCAAAATAAAAAGCAAGCGCCACTCGGGCTGGAGATGTCCGTTTAGAGCTTCTGGTTTCCTGCCCTTTCGCTTTGGCGTTCCTGCTCCAGGCGCATTTGATCTGCTGGAGGGGAGGAGGGGAGAGAAAGAGAAGTTGGCCAAGAATAAAGTTTGTGCCGGCGAGCGCTGGGCGTCGGCGTGGAGGGCACGGCCGGGTCTCGGGGAGTCACAGCGGGGGCCCGGACCCCAAAGCTTCTGCCGGGAGCGCGAGCCGGCCACGCACGCTCCCCAGCCCGACCCTTTGTTCCCGGCTCGAGTTCCGCAGCCCTGCTCGCCGGCTCGCTCCCTCGCCGCTCCGCGCCTCCGCCGGGCCGCGCAATCACAGCGGGCGCTGCCCCCTCGGGTCTGCCCCGCCGGGGGAGGAGACGCCGGCGCTGGGCCGCGTGCCGGCTCCGGGCGCGTCGCGGCTCTCCCGCCCCAGAGCGCGCGGCCCGGTCCCTCCTCCGCGCCCTGCCCCGCAGGTGAGCGGCTGCACCTCCCCGCCGCTTCTCCTCCTCCCGCGCCTCGCCGGCGCTGAAAAGCTGCCCACTTGCGTCGCTTCTCCTCCCCGCCCCTCCCCCGCCTCCAGCGCTCCGGCGGCCCGCTGGGGGCGTGGAGGGGGATGGCGAGAGGGAGGTGGTGGTTGAGGGTTTTTTTTTCCTTTCCCAGAGCCTGTAGGACGAGTCCCAGTTTGGGGATGTGTGTGTGTGTGTGTGTGTGTGTGCGCGCGCGCGCGCGAGCCCGGAGGAAGGGCCGTGCAACTTGGCTGGGGGGCGGGGAAGGACCCCGCGCTTCTCGTGGCCCACGGAGAGGCACGCTCTGCCCGCGAGAAGCTGAGCTGAAACTCTGCCCCGGCGGCTAAACTTCGTCACCGAAGCGTCCTCTTTTGCCGACCCCCACCCCCCGCCGCCCACCCCCGCCGGCTCGCCCCCCTCGCGCGGGCGGGAGATGAAAGGGAAGCCGCGCAGCTGCGGTGGAGCCGCGGCGAGGGATGCTCCGGCCGGGCCGCGGCGCAGGGCGCAGAAGGGAACCGGGAGAAAGTACCAGACGCCACTAGTCAGAGGGAATGGAAGGCAGGGCAGGGCAGAGAGCTGCGGCCTCCCGAAACACAATGTCCACTCGGGCGAGTGAAAACACAGTCTCCAGCCTTGCCGAGGAAAGTCGGACGAGGAGGAAGCCGAAGCCTGATCTCTATCGCTCCTTAAACAAGATCCCTTTCATTACATCCCCGCCGTGGGATGTACAGAGAGGAACGCTAGGTCTCCTGTGGGTTTTCGGAAACACGAGGCACAATGTGTGGGCACATCTTAGAGACAGAAGAAAAAAAAAAAAACAAAAAACCACGGAGGGGGGAGAGAAGTCAAAAGGAACCGGGAGGGCCAGGCCAGGGGGAGGCAGGACGGGGCTCTGGCACCTGGGACCGCGCACTCAAAGGGACCCTTGAGGATGCAAATCCAAATCCAACCTCAAAAACCCCCAGCCTCCACCATCTCTTTGATGTATTCTGTACAGGGACAGGACTTTCCAGGAGATGCTTTGTGAACGCTGCAGCGTAAGGAAGCTGAAGTTTGAAAACACGCTTACATTTCGGTCCTTGGCGCTCAGCCCTCCTGTTAGAAGTCCAGGCAAAATTATTATACCCAATACAGCAGCCAGCTGTAAAGCCTCAGGACAGTAAACAAAGGACAGGCAGAAATAGGTCTCCATGCCCCTGAAATTGAAAATAAGGAAAACGCCCTAACCCAGACTATCAGACAGGGGTACTCAGGGCAAGACCCTGCCGCCTGCCTAAGGGGGCCGTGGCTTGCTGGTGGCCACTGCGGGTGTCAAGACATCAGCGTCGCTGTAAATGGGCACCAAGGTCGTTGCTACTTATAGCTACTTCCTGGCTGTGGGAATTTATTAGGGAGCAATTTCAAAAACCATGGATTCAGCTGGTCAGATAAAGCTTGGCCAGGAGCCCCCCGTAAATTCTATCTGTGCGATTAAATACAAGCACGGGGGATGGGACCCAGGAAAGGAAACAGATTCTATCCACCTTTAATAGCCGGCACTGCCATGCTTTAGGGAAGGGAATCAGAAAGAATATTCTGTTACAATCGGGCTGTAAGGCAGTACTAACACCGCTGGAAAGAAACCCAATTTTGGTTTTTGGTTAGTGGCTCCAAAAGCAACGACACCAGAACTCACGAGGAGGGCATGGGCGCAGTGCCCCAGCGATGCAAACGCCTAGCTGGATCAGACTTTATAGGCTCTGTTCTGAAAGAAATATGGGAAAACAAAGTCAAACACGTCCTCCCACAAACGCGCCAATTTGACCAATAGGGAAAGAACTGGTTTCAGCAAAGCACCCAGACTCCACGCTCCTTTTCATCAAACTGTCCGGAAGGGGAGGTGGATACACACAGAATGGCCAGTGGGCATTTTCTGGAAGCCGAGGAGAGATTAAATGAGGGCTCCGGCATCCCCCCCACACACCTTTTTAAGTGTTGTAACTAACTCGAATTCCATTTTTCCTTCATGTTAATTAGCTGGGCTCCCTGGCTCCTCCGGAGCTAAGCGCCCGGTGTCCTGGGGATTAGGGTGCTCGCGAATGTGGGAATTCTTTGGAACAATAACTGGCGGGGACTGTTTCCTAGAGGGCGGAGGGCCGGAGGGTGCCTCTGGTATTCCGCGGCAACCTCTCCTTTGGAAACGGTTGCTAACGAAATCTGCCAGCGCCCCGCTCCGCGTGCGGAGCGGCTGATGCTCCAGGTGCGTGGCGTGCGGGGTGTCCACCGTCCGCTGCGCGGTCGTCAGTCTTCCAATGGGCGGCACGTAAAAGGGGCTTTAGTAGAAAACTTTCACCAAGTCCTTGACAGCTTTGTGGGGGGGGGGAGGGTGCCACTTCCACCGAGGTCCGCCTGTCCTGGAGGGGGTGCAGGGGTCGCGGGACAGCAGCGTAAGCCTGGAAAACGCGCCTCCCGCCCTGCGGGCTCGGGGAAGTCTGGCAAGGTCCCCCGGCAGCCCGGTGCGCCCTGAGGCGCGTGGGGCTGCCGCTGCCATCTGCGGGAGCGGGGAGGGGGGGCCCGGGAGAAGCCCCGCCGCCCCCGCTCGCGGGGGTGCGGGCAGGCCGTTGGTGTGAGCGCGGCGGCCGGCTGCAGGCTGGCCGTGCAGGTTCGCTCCTGCAGGATGTGGCTTTCGGGGGGCGTTCTGAGTGATTCAATTCCGACCGTGAAACGCCTGCTGGGGGCTGCTGGCTGGCTGCTGGTTTCCCCCTCCCGGCGGCTTGGGTGGGTTTGGGTTTAGCTCGGGAGCGAGGAGCGCCTCCTTGTACATCAACACTTCCTTCTGCGCCCCGCGCCGTCGGCCTCGCTGCGCCGGGGGACACGGCGCCGTCCCCAGCCGGGATGCGGGAGGGGGGCGCAGAGACGAGCCCCCGCCCCCAGGGCGACCCGGGCCCAGCGCCCCGCGGGGCGCGGGCTGGGGGCCTAGGAGCGTGACCCTCCCCCCGGCGACCCTGCCGCCCGGCGGGGCTCCCACGCGCACTGCAGTGAGCCCTAATGACGGGGAGGGGAGAGCAGCGCGGCGCCGGGGGTCCCCCCGCCCCGCTCCACCCCTCCCTCCCGCCGACCCCGCTCTCCCCCGGGGTGGCCTGGACTCTGTCCCAGCCACAGCCTCGGCGGGAGCCCGGCGGACGGGGCGGCGGGGCCCACGGAAGAGGCAGCGGGAGAGACGCCAGGGGCCGGCGGGCAGGAGCGGCAGCCCGAGCCCGGCCCCCGCGCCCACCCGCGCCCGGCGCTGCGCGCCCGCAGCTGAGCGGCCGCCGCGGAGAGGGAGAGCGGCCGCGGGAAGTGGCAGTTTGCGTCCCAGGGGCTCCTCCGCCCGCCTCCCCCAAGACCGGCAGATCAGCCCCCGCCCGCGGGGGTAACGAGAACTCGCGGACCGTGACAGTGTCGCTCCCAAATCCGGCCGCCCGCGGACGCCGGCTTCCGCGGGGCCCGCGCCCTCGGCGCCACCAGCTCGGCGCCTCCCCGAGGGCCCCTCCCAGCCCCGCGCGCGTCCGTGAGGCCCAGCCTGGGCCCCGCGGCCTGCTGGCCCCGGCCTCCGGGGCGCCCCGCGGGCGGCCGGGTCCTCGCAGGCGCGCGGGAGGCCACACCCTGCGCGCGAGGGGGCCACCGGCCCCGGCCCTCGGGGGTCGGGCGCGCACGTCCCGAGGCGCCCGGGGGGAGGGGGGGGCAGCGGTGGAGCCGGCGGCCGCGGGCGCGCGGAGGGCCGAGGGGAGCGGCTCCCCGCCCGAGAGAGCCCCCGCGGGCCCGGCCAGGGGCGCCCGCGACGGCGCGGACGGGCCGTGGGAGCGGCGGCGGCGTGGGGCGGGCCGGCCGCCGGGCGGGCTGGACGCGGGGCGCTCTGCCCCGCGCCGGAAACTTTTCTCAGGCGCCCGGACTTGGCGCGGGCACGGGCCGGCCGCCCCTCCCGCCGCGCCCCAGCGCCCCAGCGCCCCGGGCCCGGGCCGCGCGCGAGCCGCGCCTTCCCTCGGCGGAGGGCGGCGCCTGCGCAGGGCCCGGGCGGCGGCGCGGCCTTTGAAGTCCCGGCGGCTGCCGCTTTCATCCTTTCTTTTCTCCCTCGCAGGCCCCTTTGTGTGACTAAATTTGGCAAGAATATGGATCCGAGCCAGCCTTTCCACGTGTGCGCCCGGCTCCCAGCTGAGAAGGCCAAGGGTTCTCTTCCGGGTAAGGAGACGGGGAGAGAGATCAAAGCGTGTGGGGAGCTGGATCTGAAATGCGAATTGAAAATAAAAATCAAGCCTGGACACATTCCAGTTTCTAAAGCAAAACCAACCCTCAGCCAGGCCGGCTGCTGGGGCTCCGCTCCCCGCTCCCCGGCTCGGCTCGCGCTCTTCCCGCGGCCCTCCCTGCGCACGTGGAGTCCACCCGACATGGGGAAGCACTTAGCCGCTCCAGATTTTGTTTTGCAGTAATTTTATGAGGGAAAATATCTTGTTCGTAGTTACCGTTATGTGAAGCTGCATTTCTCCAGCCATAAATATTGTCCCACTTCACGAGGCTTCACACTTCGCTCCGCGGCCACGGAGGGGAGGACGAGGCCGACACGGCGCGAGCGCGCACGGCGTCCGGCGGGCCCTTTCCCCCGCGCGGCGCCGCGGCCCGGGCCTCCCCGCGGAAGCGGGTCCCGAAACCAGCCCCGGGGGTTTCGGAGAAAGTCCGCGAGATCCAGTCACTGGCTGACCTCCGTGACTTGCAGTCCTCCTGCTGAGAGACTTCAGAGTCCTTCCCCACACCCGCCAGTCAAGAAGCTCGTCTTTGGAGTTTAAAGCCTGAGGCCCCTGCTTGAGTACATTCCTTGGTCCGTGTTCTCCACCCACAGACGGGTAACAGTGTGCTTCAGAGGCAGAAATCTCGGGGCGCTAAAGCGAGACTCCCCCACTTCTGTGGGAACCTCAGGCAGTCCATTTCACCTCACCCGCACTGTTTCCTCTCTGCAAAACGGGGGGTGGCAGCCTCTTTGGGAAGACTGCAGTGAGAGTTCCGAAGGTGAGCCTGTCTGCTAACGTCAGATCTCATTAGTCCAAGAAACAGACGATTCTTCACAAGTCCTGTCATCCACTAAGCTGAAAACCTGCAAAGTGCTGGGAAGCTTAACCAGGGAGCCTGCGGGGTGGTCCCACACCCCTGTCCACATCGGCGCAACTGCGACTGCCTGACTCAGTCACCTGAGCAGGGGCAAGCCCCAAGGGAGGAGGCACATTCCACGGAGTCAGGGGATGGGCCTCACACTTATGATGGGCTCCTAGTGAAGTGCTGCAGGGACAAAGCAAAGTGACAAGGGAAACAGCAGTATCTGGGGGAGTGGGTATCTGACAGCTCCTGCGAGCCCCAAGAACAGCCTTAGTCAGACCGGCCTGTGAAGGGTGGGTGGGCGTGTGGGTGAAGAACTCTCAACAAGAGCAGCAACAAAACCAGGAAAGGTATAGAAGAGGTGGTCTGGGGGACTGCAAATTCCACCCACTTGTATATTTCAGAATAGACCACGTTTACCTATCTCAGAGTGAGGCTTCTCACGTTTACCGGGCAATAAAGCTTGCGGCTGGGCTGGGTGGGGAGTGCTGGGGGACCGTGGCGCACCAGGGCGTTTCGCTGTCTGTGCTTCCAGCCTGAGCCTCCCTAGCCCTCGTGGGGGTGCCAATGTTCCCCTTTGCTTTCGCCATGGCCCAGGCTGCCCAGGGGCAGAATCCTCCAGAGCTGTGCCATCTCCTGTGGCTGCAACACTGGGACTTTGCAAATGGTGTCCAAGGGACTCTGATGCAATCTGGGGGCTGGGAGGTGGGGGCTTAGGATGCATCTTCTGTTTTTAACATTTCCCCCAAATGTCTCATATTGGAAGTAGATGGGTTTGGAGTTCACTGGTCCAGTTCCGTCTTCCTGTCTCCCCTTTCCCTTTACAGATGCAGCCATTCTGGAATTTATTCTTGGCCCAGAGAGGAACATGGACAGAGGCACTGAGGATTCTGTCTTATTGTCTTTGTTTTTCAAGGAGATAGAGAGCAATGATGAGACCCTGAAAATAGTCCAGAAAAATCCGGGATCCTGTATTGAAAAACATAGTCTCTGAAGGGGAAGGCATGGCTAAAGGATTCTCTTATTTCTATAAATCTGTTTCCTGGGTGGAGCCAGCAGTGGAGGTGTTTCTTGAGTCGTAATTGCACCTCGTGAGATGGAGGCCATGGTAGTCTCCTTCGGCTTCCTGGGCTTTCGGAGCAGGGCCCTGGGCACTGTCAGCTTTGGGCCAGCGCCTAATCCCTGGTTCGAGGCCAGAAGCCAGAGCCACAACCTTCTCGCCTAGAGGCAAGAGCAGAACCAGCAGAGCCATATGGAGATTAACGCAGAACAAGGTCATTAGCCGCATTGTTTATCCAGCCACTACACAGGGCTTGTGTGAGGTTCAGCTGCAGTGGTTGCAGCCAGCCTTTGATGTGTGTAATCTGGACGGCTGAGTCCTCCAGGAAAGTGCCCAATGAACAGGGACTACATCCCATGTCCAGGAAACATAGCGACCCAGACACAGACTTGAACAGTCTTCTAGTGGGTTCCATCAAGCGAGGAAGCCAAACTGACGGTCAAGAAAGACCCACCTTAGTGTCAGGGCATGACTGGGGAGTCCTGGGAATGGAATAGTGTGTTCATTTTCATTTGAAACCTGGTGACTACTTTAAATCTTCGTTTATCTCTCTGAGGAGGAACTTGGCCTAGGTAACATTTGATCTTGAGGGTGTTTTCCTTTGTAAAGTGCTTCTGTCCATGAAGACAGATTCGCTGAGTGGTTGTAGCCACACTAATATATACATCAGTCCAAAATGCAGCTTCTTGTTCTTCTTCTAACTCCTTAAGCAGCTGTGATTAAACTCAGAATTAGCAATTATGGGGCTAATTCAGAAGGTGGAGAGAGCCAACGCAAATCGTTTAGGCTACAAGATTGTGATCTGGCTCGACAAAACATTTCTCTTTGGCAAAAATAAAGCAGTTTGCCTGACCCGAATTTGATTTACAGGTCCTGCCATCCCATTCCGCAATTACAGATCTCAAGTCCGCTTCCCTCAGGTTAAATTGGCAGAGGGTGAGGGACAGAGAAAAACTACCAACATGTGGGCATAGATGACGATTCCTGCCTGTTCGGATAACTCCACAGACTCCCGAGTGCATCTGGACGCTTGACTTACCCAGATATTTGCCCTCTGTCATTCACATTCTCTGGATGATTTCTAGATTATTTTACTTTGTATTGCAGGAACAGCAAATTTCTGGAGGCTGAGTCAGATCGAGCTCACAGGCCCTCTCCCACCCCATGGCAGCAGCCTCCTGAGAACGGCCTCCGGATTCCACGCTTGCTGAGCTCAGCGCGTGGTGCCTGCCACTGTCCCTGCGTCACAGCAGTCTGCCTTGGCCTTGACGGTCTCCTAGCCATCTCCTTCCAAGGCTCACACTCACTGCTCTCCAGCCTCCTCTTTAGCTCCTGCCCTGCCCCCAGCACCTCCAGCTGCCCCCAGCACCTCCAGCTTCCCGGCTGGTCCTGCAGTGTGTAAGGTATGCACACATCCACACACACACAATACCAACAACCACCACACATACACACACCTTTATTTGCTGTGGCCTCTGCCCACAAGCTCCTGCCAGATAGATATTCACAGATCACAATTATTTCTCATTATTACCTTGTTATCTGAAAAGCAGCCCATCCCTCACCCCAACGCTGAGCCCTGTCTGTCCGGCCCTCAGGCTCCACCTTTCTCTACAGTCACTGCTTGCTCTGCTTTTTATTCTTGTTGTTCACTACCTTTCTCTCCCACAGCAAGGTGAGTTCCACGACAGTTGAGACTTGACTTTGTTCTTTGCCCACTGCCTATCACAGTCCTCGGTGCGCAAAGAAGACACCAGATACTGTGTTGAATAATGAACCAATGAACCTTTGAACCTCAGTGTCCCCATCAGCAGCGCCTCCCCCTCATGGAAGATGACATGTAAATGATTACAGTTACCTGGCCCGTAGGAGTCCCTCCGTCCACAGGTTGTGTCATTGTGTAGATCAGCACTGCCAATAAAAACAGAATGCAAATCACTTTAATGACACAGCTAGGAACCAGTTAAATTAACTTTCATATACTTTCTTTAGCCTAAATATCTACACTATCACCATGTCAGTGGGCTATCATTACAAACACTTACCCATGAAAGATTCTGCATCCTTTCTTCTTGCCAAGGGTTTGACGTTTAGTGTAGTGTCACTTCCCTACAGTGCTCTTGGTTCAGCCCAGCCACGTATCCAGGGCCCCAAGTATACGCGGTTAAAACTCCTCAAGCATCAGTGGAGCGTCAACTCTTCAGTGACACGTTTTTGTCTGATTTTTCTTTGCAGCCCCTCAGAGCACGTCACACAATTCGCTCAAAACAGTGGGTGATCAAAAACGTACAAAACAACATTATTAACAATGTTGTTAAGTACAGTTTTTTACAGCAAATTGAGACTTGCAGTTTCCTTAGAGGGTGAAATAATGTCTTTGTGAACTAGCTGGAGATTATAGTAATCATTCTTTTTAAGGGCATTGTAATAGTCCTTTGCATAGAACAGGGCCTCAGTAAATGGTGTGGTTTCAATGCTGAACTGCGTCTGAGTTCATTTCTACGGTCTCCTAATAGACTTACCACTGGACTTGAGGAAATAGCTAAGTCAAAGATTTCCTATAAAGTATTTTCTATGGGCCTCCCTGGTGGCACAGGCGGTTGAGCGCCGCACTGTGAAGCTGTCCGCAGCCTCTGCAGGGCCAGTTTGATCCCAGCCAGCTGGCAAGAATCCCACATGGTACAACAGACCTCTCCTGCCTCGCCCACTGCTCCCCTCAGCAGTGTATTTCGGTCAGTCTGCCTCTTCTATTCCCCACTCTGTCTCTGGTGAATCTTCTCACCCTCCCACACATCTGGCTTGAATCCCAGCTCTTGTATAAATAAAATAAAGTCTTAAAAAAAAAAAAAACCTTTAAAAAAAGGTATTTCCTAGAGTAACTTTTTTCTCCCCTGTAAAACTACTAAGTTCAAAGTTCTCTAAGTTCTAGTCATCTAGGATCACTGATTTCTCAGAAAATCTGTAAATGGGGAGCTCTGACACCCACCCAGAATTCATCTGTAGCTCTATTTCCTCTCTGATTCCTTGGCCACACATGGGCCAGACATCCCTCTGTTCCCTAACCCAAGATTTCAACGAAAATGCCTAAATAAGGCATCAGCCTGAGGATTAGGCACATGCTTGTTAGTGGCAGAAATTGTTCCTCCCATTTCAGAGATTTAAATCCAGAGGCAGTAAAGAAGGCAGGGTAGTTTCCTAGAAGAAACGTGCGCAGGACCTTGCCAGGTTCTGGTGAGGGATGCACCCGCAAGGCCTTGATGTACCTTTACGGCAGAGAAACTTGGACATAAGGATGTGAACATGTCAGCCTTTATTGTGACTTTGAAAATGACCTATGGATGCTTCCATCAAAAGCAGTCAGGTATCAAGCTGTCACGTATGTCACCCCTAAGTGAAGGGTATTTAAAAGGAAACAGCTAGGTATGGTAACAATGATTCCTGAGATGATTTTGCAAGCAAAAATATATTCAAAAGACTCTCAATGAGATGTTCATAGAAATATATAGCTCATAACTTTGACAGGTCTAGCTGTTTGACTGGGGAGGTGGGGGGAATTAAATATGTTCTAGTGTCAGACACACATTGCTTCATTGACCTTTTGACCCATGGCACACATGTCCATGGTGTCCATTTACAGCCGAGGTGGGGGGCAGGCCAGACCAGCTAGGTCTGTGTCTCTGTCCCCTGATGACCACTCGCTAACACCCCAGACCATGTCCTCGTTCATCAGTGGATGTGTGTTTGCAAAAGTACAGCAGAGCCCTGGAGCTCTGACCCTCATACAATTGTTTTCAGTCACATGAGAAGGATGTTACTGGCATATTGTTCACAGGGAGAAGCAGACTATAGGAGAACCAGTGCAATCCTGCCTTATCTAAAATCCAATTCTAAAATCCCTCTGAATGTACTTGTCGCCATGTAAGCTCGCAGGACCAGGGCGTGATCATGGCTGTGTACCTGGTGCCCGGGACAATGCCTGCCAAAGGGTCACTCAGCCACTGCCTTGAAAAGTTCCAGAACGACAGATACTGAAGTCCTAGTTTTCTCTGAAATAGTGGAGGCATAAGTGATTTTTATTTTCTTCTTTGTGCCATGTCTAAGACCTTGTATGCAGTGAATCAACAGTCATAAAGTAAGAGAAATAGATTTTAAATGTGATATGGTAAAAAGTACATTTAAAAAATAAGAGAAGTGGGCCTCCCTGGTGGCTCAAGGGGTTAAGACGCAACCTATGAAGCTGTCCGCAGCCACTGCAGCACGAGTTTGATCCCCGGCCAGGGAGATACCCACATGGTGCAGCAGACCTCTCCTGTCTCGCCTGCTGTTGCCCTTAGCAGTGGATTTCAGTCCATCTGCCTGTTCTGTTCCCCACTCTATCTCTGGTGAATCCTCTCACACTTCCCCCCATGCCTCTGGCCTGTACCCCAGTTCTTGTATGCATAAATAAATCTTAAAAAAATAAGAGAAGTGATTATAGGGAATTTGCACAGTAATAACAACCAGCAAACAATAAAAAGGAAAGAAATTGATAAGTCATCAAAGGAAAGAAGAGGAAGAGGCAGCCTAGCTGGGCACCACGGCGGAAGTTAATCACAAGGACTCTGTTTACAGCCGCAGAAGCATGGGTTTTTAAAAATTGTAAAGTAAAACTTAAACACCGTGAAATGCACAGAACTTAGGTTTACAATTCATTGAGTTTTGATAAATATATTACAGCTGTAAAACCATCCACCTGAGATAAAGAACATTTCAATCCACCCCCCCATGCCCCCGCCTAGAAATTTCCATATGGCATGAACTTAATTTGAAGCGACTTTAAGGCTCTATTTTGGTAAAATGTCCTCTGTTGCTAGTTTGTTCTTTTCTTACTGGACACTTTGAACATGATCTTTAAACTCTTTACCAGCAAGATGAGATGTCTTCATCTGAAAACCTTGGCAGACTATAACATTCAATTCCTGAAAATGTGCTAATAATGTACCTTAGGGGAAGGGCAAATTGCTGCATGGAAACATGACCAGGTAAAGCAATGAAATGCGTATACTGTCAGTAGTTTTTCAGTGTGACAGGTGAAATGCATCTGTTCCCTGCCCTCCACCCCCCAGCCATCCAGACACAATTCAGGAGTGGCCTGGGGGCTTCAGACATGGATTTCCAGGGGAGGAGCCTGTGGGAGTCAGTTGGGAAGGAAGTGACGCAGTGACTTCCGGAGGCAGTTGCCACCCAGGGGCTGGGAACAGCAGCTCCTGGGTGGGTGGAAACCCAGGAGAGTGAGACAGTGGATTTGAGTGTACGTGCATGCCTCCTGGGCTAGCAGGCCTCCCGCCTCTGACAGATCTAGTCCCCTACATCCAGCAGGAGGGGCTGGGGGATGTAGCACAATACGGTGCTCATTGTTTAGAAAGAAAAGAAAGAAGAGCATTTCCTGGATTTCTCTTATGGGAATTGTTAAAAAATACAGACATTTAAGTCTGAAGTCCTTGTGCTCCCCCCACGCCCTCACTCCTTCATGCAGTTAAACCTGGGCTTCCAGGAAGGGGACATTTCACCACCTGATATGGGGTCAAAGGCCCCTGGCAGAACAGCAGGATGAGCAAAGGCGTCAGAGTTGTGCAGAAGACGACAGTCAGACAATTTCACAGCTGAGAGTCGGAGCGTTCGGGGGCTCTCCTGGCATGTCAGAAAGACGCCACGAGCTGTGAGGGTAAGAAAAAGCAGCAGGTGAGGACAGCACCGAGGGAAGTCAGCTCCTCACTGCCCCTTGCAGCGAGGACACTGTAGGGTGTGCGCTCTGAAAACCCTCTGAAAAATGATTCCTCGGGTGAGCCTGGAGAATTTCAGTTCACCTCTGAAAAGGAAGGGAATCAAGAACCCCCAGGAAGGGAGCTTGGGTGCCCAAAGTGTCAAATTGTGCCCGAGCAACCCCAGGGCCACGGCGCCTTCCCATAGGGGCGTGCATCGGCAGCACGGTAAATGAGCTGAGGGTGAGCTGGTAAAAGGGGTTCACTGCTAAAAGCAGGCTGGCTGGACAGAGGGCAATGACCCGAGCTCAGTCCTAATCTGTGGACAAAAAGCAGGAGAGGAAGTTTACTTAATAACTAAATATTTTCTTTTGCTTCTCCCCTTTGCTTGTGTGGGTGTTTGTGTTTTTCACGCAAGAGTCAATAATACTCTGTAATTAATTATCTTCATTATTCCAACAATAACAACACCCCAAACAATCTCTAAATGAAAACCGGTGCTGTTGCAGCTATTCATTTTCTGATGACGGAAAGAGAAAAAAAGGCCGGGAAGCAAAGGCACACTGCCCGCCAGGCTGCGCGTGTCCCCGGCTCCGCTGACGTAACGCTCCTGCTAAGTGACGTGCTCTGCAGGAACATGGGACTGTTGCTAGCCTTCCCGGCGTGTGGTGGAGACACTTCATGGAATCAGCTCGAGTTCGCTGTGCTGTCTCTCTGGTCCTTTTTTATTGAAGGGGGGGCCCCACGGGGGAGAAGTGGAAGGAAAAAAGAGAAAGAAGGAAAATAACAGTAATTCTTTTCATAGCCTAGAGCTATGCTCCTTTGACTCAGCCTGCCCTCACGTCTAGTAAATCATGGGGGCGCGACACCCTCTTTCCTCATCCTTCCTGCTTGTCTTTGATAAAGGGGACTTCGCAGTGACCTAAACATGACACTGCAGACGTCACAGCTGACCCACCAGCTGCAGGACTGTATTCAGACCCGCCCGACGCAAGGTTTAATGGAAAAGGAAAGAGGGACGATGCCCCCCTTCTCCCTAGCCTGGGCCTCCCCGCTGAGGACCTGCCACTGTGTGGGTGCTCCCTGGGAACGGGCGCCCAGCATGTGCAGGCTGGCTTGGCGAGCGTCCAGAGGGCAGCTTGTGCCTCCTTTCTTCCCCCAGGCTCCTAACCCTCTCTTTCGGTCCCTGTGCCTCGGCAGCAGGGAACGAGCCAGAAGGCCTTTCCTGACGGTGCGCTGTGCCCACTGTCTGCAGAGGGTGAGCCAGTGGGCTCTGCCGAATAGACAGCTCACTGTCTAGCTTCTATTCACTTTCTGCGCGAGCAGACAGCCCGGTCTTCAGCTCAAGCAAAAGGCAAAGCAGGGCCTCCCTGGTGACACAAGGGGGTAAGTCTCAGCACTACGAAGTTATCAGTAGCCACCGCAGCATGAGTTCAATCCCCAGCCATGGAGCAGGACCTCTCCTGTGTCGCCCGCTGCTCCCCTCAGCAGTGGATTTCTGTCAATCCACCTCTTCTGTTCCCCACTCTGTCTCTGGTGAATCCTCTCACCCCTGTACCTCTGGCCTGTACCCCAGTTCCTGTATGCATAAAAGATGAATCTTTAAAAAAAAAGCAAAGCAGAAAATTAAGCCAATCTTATCTTAAGCAAATATCCAATATCTTAGGCCAAACACTCTACTGCTGAAGAAAAGTTTGTTTTTTAAACTTGAATTAACCAGTGAGTCAATTACATCAAGCAGCACTAATATTCAGTGATAGCTTCATTTGTCAAGGGGGGAAGCAGACATTCTTTGAGGTGCTTAAGTCACAGGCACAAGAAGAACCTCTTGCTCGTACTCTGGGCTTGCATCGGGCCCTAGTTTTCCACCTAAACTGTGCACCTTGATGTCACCCCTCAGTGCCACACATCTGCCCCACCAACTGCATCCGACACAGCTGACCGATTCTCTTGCGTCACTTCCCTCACTGGCTTGTAGGATGCCATTTGCTTCTGGGTCTTTCCTGGCCTCCTACCCTGCCCCCCCCCACCAGCTTCCTTTGCTGGCCCCCCATCTTCTCCCTGACCTCTGAGGGCAGAACCCCTCCTCTTTGACCTCATTCATTCTCTTGATGATGTCACCCAGCGTCATTCCTTTACACATGTTGCAGGTGCCAGCAGCCCCTAGCCAACGTCTGTGGCCCGGACCTCGCCCCTGCCTCACAGATGAGCCTACAGGTCTCCCCACTGGATGTCTAGTAGACATCTGAACCCAAACAAACTCACAATCCCTCAGCTCCTCCTCACATTGCCTTCCTCTGAAGAGGAGATAGAGGCCACTGTTGGCTGCTCTGGTCAAGCTTGGAATCACCATCAGCCTTCATGCTCCTGACCCCCTCTCATTGGATCTTGACTCATTGATTGGCACCTACTGCAAATTCTCACCAGAACCAACCGCTCCTCCCATCAGGGTCAAGCTGCCTTCATCTTTCAAGGCTTCTGACATGGGCCTTGCCTGTCTCCCCGTTCTTGCCCGAGTCACACTTGCTACTGTCTGCAGAGCTGCACAGGCCCTGCTCCCACCTGCTAGAGCAGGTCTGCCTGCTGGGAGCTCTCTCCACACCACCAGTGCACAGTGCCCCCCCCAACCCCCCACCGTGACCCACACTCACCTCTGACTTCTCCTAACTGGCTCCCACTGCCCTCCCCAGCTCACTGGCCCAGACTCGCCAGTTGCCTTGCTGTTCTCAAATCTCAGGCACTGTCCTGCCCATGATCTTTGCACAGATGTTCCTGTGTCTGTCGTAATCCCTCTCCAGATCTTCACCTGGTTTATTCCCTCACCCACTTTGGGGCTTTCCAAATGTCCCTCGTAAGTAAGGTCGTCTCAGATCATCCCATTTACCATGATGTCACCCCAGCTGCAGACAGTCCCCCTGTGCTCCTGCTTCATTCGTGGCACTAACTGACAGCTCATATGCTTATATCAGTTATCTATTTCTTTTTTTTTAAAAGATTTATTTATTTGTACAAGAGCTGGGGTACAGGTCAGAGGCACGGGAGGGCAACAGAATTCACCAGAGACAGAGCAGGGAGCAGAACAGACAGACGGACTGAAAACACTGCTGAGGGGAGTAGCGGGCGCGACAGGAGAGGTCTGCCGTGCCATGTGGGAATCTCCCTGGCCCTCTGGGAATCGAACCCACATTGCAGAGGCTGTGGACAGCTTCACATCGCTGCGCTCAACCCGCTGCACCACCAGGGAGGCCCCATTCATGTATTTGTTGACTTTCTTCCCCATTAGAATGCACTTTCCCAGAAGGAAGGGACTTTGGTGTTTCCTTTAGTGCTGCGTCTCCAGGCGCCCAGCACAGCTCCTGGTATACAGAGAGCCCAGTAATGCTGGCCAGGCAGAGCGTCTACAGAAGCACACATAACACAGTCTGGACACACACAGGACCCATATGTTCTATCCTTTGCTGGACTGGTGCGCTCTACATGGGTATAGTATAGTTTTTAAATCAACCAATCAATAAGCCATATTTTAAATATATCAGGGAAGTTACTATACTACAGGGACGTGGTGGTCCTTTTATAAGGGCAAAAATCCACTGACCAGCACGGCCCACTGTCCTCATCCGACTATGCTGTCCATATAGATTTCCATCCTCATGAACTGCTTCCATAGACTAGACCTTCTTGCCAACCCCACCTTGCCGGGCAGGTAGAGATGGTGAGGCCATTTCTAATCAATGGGGAGGAAAGGAAATTTAAATTGAACCATATTTTGCAAGGTATGTTTTCCGGTGGCTGTGGTTGGTGAGACTCAGCAGGCCCCTCCACAAAGATGGGGCCAGATGCCCCCTCCAGAGCTGCTCCCGGCCTTCCCGCTCGCTGAAGCCTTCCTGGTGTGGGGGAGCCTTTGCTTGCCGGTAAGGGAGATGTGCTTCAGGAGGAACAGGCCCAGTGAAAGTTCCTTGGACTCACATAACGAGAATGCGACTTCCTTTGCTATTCTCTTCCGGTCAGTTTGGTATCCGACTTGGCTGCAGCCATCCCCACATGTTCCCTTTATCAGGCCAGTGGCCTCCTGCCAGATTTCTCTGCTGAAGTCACCTCTTGCCTCTGGGGCCACTTTACTGCCCACCAGGAAGACCAGGAATGTGGGGGATTCAAGTTCCAAGGATCAGCCTTCAAGCACTGACCCAGCAGTTGGTGGATGAATCCCCAGCAATCACACCTTGCGTGTCATCCTATTCCAAGGAGAGTTCCACACTGGTGCCCGGGGTGTCCCTGGGGGGACCACGGTTCAGTTGCCTGGAGTGACCCACTGGCTGGACAACACATCACATGCTGGCTTCCTCCCTTTTCCTGCTCACCTCCCACTCCAGGTTGGTGTTACCAGGCTCCCTCACTGCTCAGGCCCACTTCTTGCAACTGGATCCTTGTCAGGGTTGGCTTCTGGAGGAATCCAAACCAAGATAGTACCTGCGAGTCCTTACCAGTTCTGGTGCTTGTTAACCTGCCTTTAACCAGAGCGCCAGCTCAGGCCTCAGCCTGGAAGCGTGGGCTGCGGTGAGCAGCTGGCTAGAATCCCCAGCAGCAGTTTCTTTCCATTGTGCTAGCCTTTCAGTTAGTTTCTATTTATTGTGTTAATGACTCTCCATGGACCCTTGTAATACGGTATTCCCCGCTTCTTGGCAGTTGTGTTACGTCACTTCACTTTTGTGAAAGACCTATTCTTGACAAGAGAAAAATTACAGAATATTTGATGACAAAAGGCAAAAAGGAAAACACCTTCATCATGGGTTTTGCAAGAGCTGTTCCAAAGGCAGTGGCAGCAGAGAGAGAAGAGAGAAACCACCAAGTCCTTCTCAGAACCAATTCCTAAGGCTGTGGATTCATCATTTCATTCCTGCCTTACCAGAGTGAATGCAATGTGGATTCTAATGTATCTTTGGGGTATGGTTTAGTAG